ATTTGGAAGTTAGTCTGGAGTAAGTGAGTCCCTGAAATTTTCTCTAGTGGCATGTCTGAGTTTTCAGCTCTTGTTTTAACTTCAACAGCAAATGACTCGCCAATGCCATCTGGGCTTGCTGCGTATCGGGAGTCTTGTGGACGCTCAAAGAAGCCACAGCTATAGACTGGGGCAGCTAGAATAAAAAAAAGTGAAAATCTGACACCAGTCCTCCCTCATTTAATTCATGATCATTTATAATCGACCCCATGCCTGATACTTCTGTAAAGTTATCCAATGCTGCTTTTTCATACGTTTGTCCCCTTTCAAAATTTTTGAATCTCTTTGGCCGATAAGTGCTTTTGTTTTTGATTCAAAACTAAGCTGCATCAGACTCCTTGTGCCCATTCATACCGAGCAATGTTGGCAACTTGCTAGCAGTAATAACTCCCATCCTGTTTGCAAACCATTCACTTGAACCTTGAACCACATCAACATAGTTACTCCCACCACTGATATCAACCTTTTCATACTTGGGAGCTTTACTGATATGATTTCATCGTTACTTTGAGAAAGTAAACTGAACAAGTCTTTAGACTTAATGGTGGAAAGTAGAGTCCAGTTTGTTTTGCTGGCATTCTCCCGGGAAAATCATTAGATTCTGGTTGACAGGGCCCTAACTTTGAGTGGCATATGTCCCGAGTATTACCTTTGTATCTAGGCGTGAGTATTGTCTCATCATAATACACTGAGTGCTTGGCATAATCATGCTCCTGCGTGATTTTACAGTGATATGCAATTCTGTATTCAAGATGTTGTTTCAAGCCAGATTCTATTTTGTACTTTGTCAAGCACTTGAAAAAATGATTTGAGATGTCAATGTTAATACTTCCAAGTTTATCTTGTACCATGTGACTGATTTCACCTACATCTCTTGTAAACCAGTCACTCCTGTCAATGTCAGTCACAGACTCAGAAGAATGTATTTCAACTTTTTAGGTTGATCTCTTGTGGTAAATGGCTTTCCTTGCTGATCGAACATTTCTAAAGTACTTCAACCGAATGTGAGATGCTACCTTTGCCTTGGCTTTTGCCTTGGCTTTTGCCTTGGCTTTTGCCTTGTCAGAGATACTAGGGCGGTGACACTTTTGCAGTTTCTGGGTGCATGTCAAAGCCAAGAGAAATTTCTTGTGTTCGGTAAAGCAATTAAGCTGAAGAAGAACCAGAACTGCAGAGACCACAAGCACCCACAGGACATTCGCAGAATGCCTTTTTCGGTTACTTTCCTCAAAAAGCACTGTAACTGTGCGAGTTACGTCTGTAGAAAAACTCTTCAAAACGCTGGCTTTTACATATGTTGACAGTCCTTCCCCTTGTATAGCTTTGATATGCTTCCTTCTTCGAGACTGGAAGATTCTTCAAGCCTTTCTCTAGTGCCCTTTTCTCCCCTTCGGCGCTTACGCGATTGATAAGCGTTCATTTCACCTTGGGAAAGAGTGAAACGCCAAATTTCCATCTTGCTGTAGCTCGAGGAACGCTTTCTCTCGGTAGTGACGTCGGAAACTTGAACTTCTTATCGATCAAAGTTATCCTTTTTTTAATCAAGGCGTCGTCCTGTAGTGGTGATAACCGTTTGCGCCTGATGTTTTGAGTTGTAGCTTAGCACAAAATTTGGATAAGACATCACAATCTATGCAGGGACCTGATATTTTTCTCTTTTATCCGGTCTTTTACTTTCGACGAGTTTAATGCTCCCTTGATCCTTTTGTTTATGAAACAATAAGCTCGTGATGAGGACGCCTTTTCCTTCGCAACGGCGGACGCCATGTATGTTTTTTTTGAATTTGCCGCGAAAGTCCGCACTCGACCTAATACCTCACGGTATGAAAGTAGGCAA